AAAAAAAAAAAAAAAAAAAAAAGAAAAAAAAAAAAGAGTGACAGTGAGTGATCTAACATCATCGAGCCCACAGCCTCCCAGCCCCACGGTGGAGAGACGACCGTAATCAAAACCAACTGGCAAGAAAGGGAAAAAAAGGTGAGAGGAGCTCGAGAGGAAGGCTGGAAGGGGACTCCCTCGGTTTGAGCATCCACCGAGCTCTGGCACGGGGGAGTCACCTTTCCTCGCGTTCGCTGGACTCGGCACGCAGAGAAATCCGATGGAAAGGAGCAGAGAAGCGCAGAGTTGGCTGGCTGCTGCATGCACCGGGGGGCTCGGGCACGTGGGGACCCCACAGCAAGGACAGCGAGGGTCCCAGACCGAGCCGTGGCTGTCCCCCTGCATTGGCAGCCCCTCTTCTCCCAGTTTTGTGGCCTTGCTGTCCCCCTGCATTGGCAGCCCCTCTGCTCCCAGTTTGGTGACTCTAGGGTCACCTGGCCACCTTCAGAAGGTAAATTATGTGGAATTCACACCAGAGCAAAGCCCCAACCACCCAAGCCATGTAAAGGAGGGGACCCCCAGGGCTTTTTGGAGCAGTTTGCTCTCAGGGGGAGGGCAGGCAGCAGCAGATACCAGGCTGCTCCGCTCCCGATGCCTTGAATTCTAACTAAAAAAAAACCCAGGCTGATGTTTCAAATCCAGTTTGGCTTCAGCTCCACCTCCTAAAAGTGTTACCAAGCAACAAGGCACCATAAAGCTGAGCACCGTCCCCCTTCCTAAATCTCCTGCAGCAGCCGCCCAAGTTTTGGGAGTCCCAGCCTCAACATCTGGGAGGAGGCCCTTCCCTGGAACAGATCCCCAGCTTTTAGCCTCCAAACGCTGGAGTTTTTTGCTTTGGACACAAGACAAAGCCCACGTGTGTCCTCGAGAGGCCACGGAGGAAGAATGGAGCTGTGGCTGAGCATCTTCGCTCCAGATCCGGTGACTTTACTCAGCCGGTTTTGCTGCGAAAGCTCGGCAGGAGGCTCGGGGAGGGAAGGGGCCCCCCACTGCGACCTGCAGCCCTGTCTCTCCTCTTTTGGGGTGCAGAGGAACCCTGAAAGGGGGGCACAGCCCCCTCTGGGTCTGAAGGAGAGCCTGTACCTTCCCCAGGAGCTGCTGCGAGCAGACAGGGTGGTGCAAAGGGATGTGCGGAACAGGACGGGGGGAGAGGAGGAGGCAGGAGGGGGAAAAGAGTGTGAGAAGGGGACAAAAAGCGGGGTGCTGCTGGGGGGAGCATGGGGGGCTGCTGGGGGAGAGCACGGGGTGCCGAGAGCCATGGGAGGAGGTGGCAGGTAGGGTCGGGTAAGGCAATAGCAAAGGTCTCCAGCTTGTTTGGTTTGTCTTGGGGAGAGGAACAAATCTCAGCTCCCTTACTGGGGGGGGGGGCTGCGGGGTGGCCCCTCCGAGGAACCCCCCCGAAGAGGGGAAGGTGCAGGATGGCATCACAGTCCGCCCCGCTCCCTGCGCTGTCAGCAAAAGGGGCAAAGCTGCGGCAGCACGAGCTGTAACAGCCGCCTTCCCACTCAGGTTCTGTTCCCATGCCTGCAGCAAAACTGGGGCGACAGAAACCATTACATTATGGTTGCTATAAAAAAAAAGGAAAAAAAATTCATACTCCTCTGCAGGCAGAGAAACCCATGAGTTTGGGAGCGATACAGCATCCTCCCCATGCCAGGAGCGGGCAGCAGTATTTACACGTTTCTCACTCCTGAACTATTTAATCAAGGCAAGGCAACCCCAGAACAAGCCTTCTCCTGCGCCCGCAGGAAATCACCCGGCGCTGATAGGAAGGGGAAAGCAGGCTGGGGAGATGCCAGCATTCAAAGGCTGGCGGCAGGAAAGGATTAAAACACTAGATTACAGGATTCCCTCTGGGGACACATGTTACTGGGATAACTCATTCCCTGACCATCAGCCAATCTCCCTGCCCTGCGAGTTTAAAGCACGCGGATCGCTCGGTCCTGCTCTCCGCACACGAATAACACAGACCAGTTGGCTGCCGAGGGAGGAAAGTATTTCCCAGCAAGCAAAGAAACCTTCCAAACCAGATCAAAACCAGGGGGCTGAGAGAAGTCTTAATATGAAACATACAGGCCTGGAAGAATCTCCTGCCTTCAACTCCATCTAAGCTTCCTCTGGTTGGGATTTGCAATTTCAGAGGGTGAAAATCAGAGGGGTTTTGTTGAACAAAGAACAAACAAGCAGGTGCGTTTACTGTGACATTCATACAGCAGCAGCAGCAGACAGGTGAAGCAGAGGATGCTCATCATGCAGCATTAGAAGGGAAATAAACGATAAAAATTGTTGCAGAAACATACAGTAAAGCAATACACATGCTTTAGCAGGGTGCTGTTTATTGTCTTTTTTTTCCCCTTGTGTTCCCCTCCTCGAGGGTACACGGGGACACCTTGGAAGGCTCTGCGCATCCCCACCTACATTTTTGCTTTTTCCTATTTCTGAATCCTTCCTCCCCACGGGTCTGAACCACCTCTCGGGTCCCCTGGCACCCTGAAACCTGCCTACGGGAGCTGATGGAAGGGTTTTCAGGGCAGCGGAGGGGCAGGTGTAAGGCTGCAGAGGGGAAGCAGTGCTGCAGGGAGGAGGATGGTTCGTACTCACCCGTCTGGAGGGTCTGCCTCCCCCCCGAGAGCACTCCCAGGGGCAGGGTACCTGTGGGAGTCAGGCCCTTGAGAGTCAGCACGCTCTCGCTCTCCTCTCTGCAAAAAAAAGGCGAAACAACCGGTTATCAGGAGATCAATGCGATGCTGGGTTAGATCCACGCGAGACTATTAGGGGTGAGCAGCACGAAAACCAGAGTCTGCCCTGTGCTGACCGCAGGCAGCGTGGGTACGATCCACCGAGCACGACCTGCCTCCTCGAAACACACCTCGGCTCGCTCAGCCTCGACCCATCAGAGCTACGGCACAGCAAATGCACCCCAAAAGGGCTCAATATCCCCAATCAGCAGCATTTCTGCAGGCTTGAGATGAAGGTTTCTGAGAGTCAGACCGCTAGGCATACAGAAACCACCACCTCCAGCCTCTGCCGTCTGCTCTGAAGCAAGAGTTTTGTATGATTTTCCCCCAGCAGGACTCTATCGTATGATTTTTCCCCAGCAGGACTCTTTTGTACAATTTTCCCCCAGCACGACTCTATCGTACGATTTTCCCCCAGCAGGACTCTGCCTGCCCGGAGCACCCTGACCAATGTCCCTCCATAGCCAGACCCCAAATCACAAACTTCTTTCCTTACCGAAGAACCGAGAAGACACGTGCCATCTTCCCAATGGCTCTGATCTTATTCCTGATGATCTCTTTACGGACTGTTGTCCCACCTTAGGGAGAGAAAAAACAAACAGCAGCATGTTTAAGGATTTCCTTGTTTTTCCAGGCACAGGTAATGTCAATATGAAGCACCTGCCTGACTCCAGGAAAAGAAAAAAATCATGGTTTACAGATTCACAGCTACACTCTTGAGAGAACAGCGCTGAGAGGATGGCGGTCAGGATGGCAGTGAGAAGGGCAACACCAACGAGATGACACACGGACTTAAAAAGGTCTCGAGAGAACAGAACCACCAAAGGAAACGGCTCGGATAGGTCTTTGTTGGAAGCTCACCAGGTTTGATCACACTACACAGGATGTAACACAAATGACTCAGCCATGTAGACACAGTTTTGCAAGGCAGAACACTGACGAAATCTGACTGCTGATGAACGCCGCAGAACACCGGGGCTGTGCTCGCCGCGGGGAAGGAGTGTCACGCAAGCATCAGCTTTGGGCATCCAACGCGTACAGTGAAGGGCTTGGCCGGAGCCTTGCAACTCTGCTTTTGACCCCACACAAACACAAAGTGAGAGATGTGAACGGCACCCCCCTCCCTTTCCGCTATACAACAGGAGAGGGGGAAAAAAAAAAAAAAAAAAAAAGGCATGGAGGGTAACTGAAAACAAACACAAAAAATTCAAAAGTCAAAGAGGTAACAAATACATCTCCTCTCAGCTGAGATTCCTCACATGGCCCAAGTACACATTAGGACAGTCCAAGCCAAACCGGAGGAGGTCTAACATGCACCGATGGCTCAGCCATGCACTAAGTGGCTGCATTCAGAAGTCAGATAGAAACGTGACCCCGTTTCTCGAGTTCCTGGAGGAACGCAGAAGGGTTAAAAAACACACGGCGCTTATGTTAAAAACTGAAAGGGGATGAAGAGACTGCCCGACTAGTCAGCTATTCAAATCCACTCCAAGGAATCTGGTGGCACAGGCAGTGAAAATTAAGCTTGTAGCAAATTCTAGCTGGGTACCTTTCTGATAGCTTGAAATGTAGTGATCTTCAGGGAGAGGAGACACCAAGAAACAAGTAGATGAAGACAGAGATAGAAGAAACAAATTTAATTTTCATGGGAGGGAGAAAGAAAAAAAAAACCAAAACAAACCAAAAAACCAAAAACGAAATGCAATGGGAGAAGCGGGTTAAAAGTCTCGACCTGGCGACCGAAGCAGCGGCACCTTGTTGTACCACAACGGTGTTCTGCTTCTCTGCGGGACTGACTGTCCTCCGCCCTACACCGATCTCCGGACCCGCCCCCCCCCCCCGGGCATGCTCACGGCCCCGCTTCTCGCTGCACGCCCCACGCCTGAGCTTCCTCTGGGTCAGCACCTCGCTCTGGAGCGATTCCCCCCCCAACATACAAACTGCAGCGAGTGTTCTGCCCCTTCCATGCATAGCTTAAAATGAGGGCCAAAAACTGCATCCTGCTTTTTTTTGGAGGGTGACGTGGGAAGCCTCTTTCCAGAGTTCCCTGCGACAGATGAGAAGACTGAGTAGGTATTTTGGTACAGAAAATTTAGAATTGGGGGGGAAAAAAAATAACTACTTGGGAAGCAGGCTCTGTAAGGAGCAGGAAACCATCCTCCAGAGTAGCTGGCAAGAGCGTCTGTCGCAGTGAATATGGTTTAATTTCTCTGTGACTGAATAGCAAAGGGGGGAAAAAAAAAATGTTTCCTACCCAGAACTGTACAAGGGTTGGCCAAAAAGGAACGGGAGACCCTGGCTGGATGTCCAGTTATAAATCAAGTGCTGAGCACTCTCGAGCTAGCATTGCACGCCTTCCCCACCTTCACCCCCCCACTGGTACCAGCTTGGCTGTAACAGCGGTTTTTTACCTTCCAATGTCTCATCACCATCTGAAATCAACTCATCATCGGAGCATATGTTGAGGATGTTAACGAGCATTTCTGTGACTGTAAGAAGCACAGACAGGGAGGTTAGAGAGACCTGGCAGGCAGAGCTATCTAGAGGACGAGCTGGACAAGGAAACAACGTCAAGGTCATTTCTACCCTGGAAGTGGAAGCCCAAAAAGACACTTTTAGCTGCACACTGCTGGGACCTCGCAGCAGTACCCAGAGCAGACGACATACTTCACACCTTCTGCCAAGGAGGTGGACGCGGTCCAAGCACATCACAGATGAAGCAGACGTGGGGAGCGGGGTGCCAACCTCCGCGCAGAACAGCCTGGGCTCGCCGAGGGTCCCCCCTCCCCACCCCGACTCGCACACAGGCCACCTGGCTCCAAGAACGTCAAAATTCAACCTCTGGTTCCTCAAAGTCAAAAAACCCTTTGGTGCTTCAGCCCTTTAAGTCATACTCCAACCATACAGCACTGGGGTGGAATTTAAACTCACTGGGAGACGTGAAAAACATTTTCCTGAGAAACTGAGGCAAAAGCTTGGTCATATTTTAAGCTGCCCCGCCTCCTTCACAAGGAAACAAGCCCTTAAATTGAAGTGAATGCTTCCTTGTCGGTGGGCAACAAGCCAAGAGGAGATTTGAGTTTCTCTGGTGCAAACCCAGAGCGAGAGAAATGTCTCCAAATTCTGAGGTGGGGCGACACCACCCCGTATCAGCTCCATCAGCAAGGCAGACATAGCAACAAGGGATGGTTTCATTAGTAAAAGCTTTCTAAAGCAGCTATCAACAATTAATTTCACGTGAACATTACCCAGTAATATGCAGATCTCCTTGAACCTGAACTCCTTTCCAGCGCCAGCTGATACGAATGAGTTACAACACTCCTCCAACACATCTAACAGCCCGCGGGACAGGGTACAGTGACCAGTCACCGGGCAACTGGTAACAGAAATCCAAATCTCTCTTACCCTTTTCCCCTACAAAAGGCAAAGACCATGTGAAGACATCCATGAAGTTTGGAAGCCAGTAGGGATGAGGGGAACAGTTGAACTGCCTGATGTTCATGACATTGTTTTCGTATTTCAGTACAGCAGCTAGAAGAGAAAAAGGAAAGACAACGCGTGTCCCTAGGTGCTGTCAACTTCTGGGAGCTGTACCTGCGCTAATAAAACTTCATTATCAACAAGAGGTTGCACTCATGGAGAATCAAACCACCTGCTCTCCAAAATGAGAAGGCTCAAGCAATATTTTTTTCAGTTTACCCATTACATGGTTTCACTAAAGCTCATCATCATCAAAATTTATGCAAATCAGAAGCCATGAACCCAGAGCCAAGATCCAAAAAAAAAAACAAAAAAAAAAAAAACACCCCACGGCTGAGGAAAGTTCCCCATCATACTCAGATGGTTTTAGAGGCACAGGGAAGTTAAAAGCTTGCCTGTACGAGCAGCTTCTGTTTTACGGCAGCATACATCAACAGCACTCAGCTGTCACGTGGCTGGAAACAAAAACATTATTCTGGACTTTATAACTCGACAGCTAATTGCCACAGTAATACATTAAGTCTCCAAGAAAGAGAACCCAGCCACCTCCAGCTCCCCAGCTGCCCCAGTTTAGCACAGAAAGCTTTTTTCATCTCATGCATAAGAATGCACCCAGAGGAGAGGGCAGAGTGGGCATGGGAAGATGGAGAGGGATTTCCTGAGCACGTGGGGACAGCCCCGACACCCCAACAGCCCTGCCCTCGCCAGCCTTACCCTTGTTGTTATAGACATCTAGGTAGTTTGGTGCAGAGAAGATTGTGATTAACGAGGGAAAGCCTGTCGTCTGGCTCTTCCTGTACATTCGGTACCTGAAAAACAGGTCAAGTGTTAAACACACTGGTCTGGCTGAGAAGAGCAGGAAGGCAGAGAGCCTGCTCCATCCCGGGCTGCAGCACTTACCCAGCGTCCTGGGCTTCGTGAGCTCGGATTACAGATAACAAACTATTGTTCTGCAAAAATTCACAAACTGCAGGATAACTGGAAAACAAACAAAAAAAAAAAGCAAGGAGACATGAGCATGTGGCACAGGACAGCACCCACGGCACGTGGCACTTGCAGCATCCATTCGGTTTGTGTCCAGTGTCCCCAAACAAGACCAATACGTACTACATTTAAAAATTAATTGCCAAGCATTCTGTTAAACAGACCCCTGGTGCCAAGTCCTCCCTATCAGCCAGGCTACAAGTGGTCCGTCAGCACAAGTGCTTCTCTTTTAGACAGGAAAAGATTATCTCCTGAGCTCCTGGTACTGTGCAGTGCCCAAAAACCACTCCAAAGGCACCCTGCCAGCTAAAGGAGCATCTCTGCTGTCCGATACCACAATCTCAACACATCCACAGAGAGCTCGATATTACAGGATGAGAAAAGACACAAGACCTTGTGCATTAGAGCCAAGACTATTCCAGAGCCAGGTACACTGTCAAGTCCCACAGAGCGATCTGAATCGCGATTTATCTCCCTATACATCCTAGGATAAGGGGAGACGAGCAGCTCCCGTCCCTCAGAGCCCCCTCAAACACCACTGACCTGTAGAAATAGGAGCAGCCTCGAACAGTGTTGTGGGAGAAATGTTCCAGCGTTTTCTCGTTGCCGTAATCCTCTGATGGGTCGGACCAGAGCAGGTCACACATGGGACCAAAGGCTGGAGGCTCCTTAAACCTGTCTAACTGGAAAACGGACAGAAAATCAGGACAGGCAGAGCACGGGAGCCTCAGCCTGGAGCTCCTCGCAGGAATCAAGCCAGCCGTTAATCACATTATTAATTGTAAGCCATGGGAAAGGACGACGGAGATTACTTACTTTCCTAATGTCATCTAGACACGTGATTTCTGGAGACAGTCCTCCATGAACGCACAGAAACTGCTGGTTTAACAGGGCAGCAAGAGGAAGACAGTCAAATGTATCCATACACGCATCGTACACTCGCTCCGAATACTTGATTCGACCTGGAAAGATGGGGACAGGGGGAAGAAGAGGGGGAAGAATTGAATTATTTTAATTTACCCATTTACAAAACAAAGACTGCTCAGGCTGTGCAAAGCAGATTTTTTTTTTTTTTTTTTTAAAGAGGGATTCATTCGCGCATCCAAACCTACATGATATGGGAAGCACTAAGCAAAGCTTTGATCAGCCAAAGTGTTGTAACTTCAAGAAGACGAGCTCCTAAAGCGATACGGAAACTCCACATCCATGGCCCACCGAGTCCAACTTTGCACCTGGCTAAAACACTGCCTTCAAAAATGCGTGTTGGGCACGAAGATAAAAAGCTTCACAGTAATCTGGACATGGTCAAGAATATCCATCTCCCTTCCAGCTATTTTCTAGAACACCTGCACTAGGAAAAGAGGCCAGGCGCTTGCCACGGTAACAGAAAACCTGGGATACGGATAAAGCCATCCCATTATTTTCCTGCGTTCATCCTGCACCTCTAGACTCCGAGAGTCTCACCAGCCTCGGTATCACACACTGGGAAACACAGCAGCTGTTTCATTTGGCACAGCAATAGCACACAGCCATTTACGAGAGGAATTGCCTTTTGGGCTGGACACTTTGAGCCAGAACTGGAGCGAGACGCCTGCAGGTAAATGAATCTTCACCCCGGATCGTTCAGTGATCGCAAGCTCTGCTGGATGCCTCGTCCCAGCAGAGGTGAAGAGGATGTTCCGATGCATGAACAGAGACACCGTGGCCCTTCTCAAAGTGGTTTGGCTTTTGCAGCAAGGCTCCAAGCACGTTCACAAATACCCCTCAACACTTCCCGTTAGGACGGAGAGCAGGAGCAGAGATCGACACGTGTCTTCTTGCACCTGCAGCCCCTTCGCAGGGCAGCGATGTGTTAACACAGCCACATCTTCAGCAAAGCCCCATTACTGCCATAAAATAAAGCATAAAAGTGCACGAATGGAAAGTTTACCTTTCATCCAGTTTTATTTCCGAGATAAACAGGTTTTTTTCCAGCTGCACGCTATGATAAAGGAAGAGGAAAGGCAGCATCTTCTGCTTTCTACCAGGGGGAAAAGCCCCATCACCTCTGGCTCTCTGGTTCAAACTGAGCCCAGCTCAACAGGAGCTCACCCACCACCATCTGACGACTCCAGCATCCAGCAGAGAGCTGGCTGGTGCTTCCCAGCTCATTTCGGAGTAAACAGATGTCATTCTCTTGGTACCTACCAGCCTCACCGAGCTGAAGGGCTAAAGATCGGACCTGTGCCTTGCCCGTAACTACTTCTTGAGGTCGGGTCCTTGAGCAGCGATTCCCCAGTAAAGAGCGGCACGTCGCTGGTGTACACCTTGTTTATTGCTCGAAGGAATGACCGTCATCCTCAGGGGAGAGGGGTCATTCCCCGACCTTTCATCACCGTTGGTTTAAAAATATGTAAATGCTGCAGGAAACTATCTTTAACTCGGCTAAAATGATCTTAAAGGTAATGATTCTCCCCAGCACAAACACCGAGGAACAAATCCTTTATGTGCTTCCAATTGTAATCACCGAGCCCAGCTGCACAATCTGGAGCTGGAAGTCGTTTGGCAGTAATTATCCAGCGCTGGGCCTGACAGGCGGGAGGGAGGGTGTGTGTGCAACGGGCTCAGCAGCAAGGCAGGGAAGAGGCGTTCGCGTTTCTTCCATCCACGTTCATTCTTCGTAACCAGAAGGACACACCGACATGCTCTCTGTACTTTACAGGACTTTTTTTAATATATAGAACCATAGAATGGCTAGGGTTGGAAAGGACCTTGATACATATATTTTTTTTTAAAGCAAGAGCTTAGAGGTCCTTAAAAAAAATATATATTTTTTTTTTAACAGGAGAAGAGCTACGTACACAGGTGTACTTTACAGGACTTTTTTTAATATATAGAACCATAGAATGGCTAGGGTTGGAAAGGACCTTGATATATATTTTTTTTTTAAAGCAAGAGCTTAGAGCTCCTTAAAAAAAATATATATTTTTTTTTTTTTAAACAGGAGAAGAGCTATGTACACAGGGAAAAAAAAAGACAACAGATTTTCACAGCCCAAGAGCTAACCAATATCACTCATAGCACAAAAATTAAGACCCACACCTGGTCACAACACATTAATACATTTAAATCCTTCCACCGCTGATACTTACACTCCTGCTTAAAGGTGAAGTATTCTGTGAGGTGCCTGCACTCGTGATTCCCTCGAAGGAGGAACAATGTTTTGGGATGATTTATCTTTAAACTCCATAAATACAGCACGCACTGCGAGAAAGGGAAGGAGAAGATGGCATGTAATAAAAACTTTTTATAGGGCACTAATCAGCCGTAGACTTCAGTAAGAGCTTCTGGGAAGACACCCAACAAGCTGAATTCAAAGCGGAAGCCTGATAGAAACCCAGCTCCATAATCGGCAGTAGATCTTATCTTGGCCAACTTCACCAGTGGGGGAAAGCCACACGGAGCATTTCTCTATATTAGGCTTGACTTGGAGAAGTGACAAATGAGATCGCATTCAACCGAAACCAGCTCTGGGCTGGGTGGGGGCAGTTTTTCCCTTCCAGCAGCAAAAAGCACCCATTTCAGAGCAGCAAAGCAAAACCAGCTGCGCGGCGAGATGTGGGCTCCAGATGTCCCCCTGCGATGGAAACCAGAGCCCATCCCATACAACAGCCGGCTCGCTGAGACATTTTATCAAGTGCATTAAACATGGGTAAAAAAAATCAACCTTCATCTTCCTCGCCGACTTCCCCCCCGCCCCGTTTGTCTGCTTACGCTACAGTCATGTGAAGTTCAAGTTCAAAACAGGAAAAGCCAAGCCAAAACCCAAGCTTAGTAAAGCCTCCTGGCTTTGAAGAGGGCTTTCCACATCCCCTCTCCGAGCAGCAACACCTGTAAAAAGATCATCTTTGATGAGGCGCAGACCAGAGTCAAACTGAAACAATCTTTTTTTTTTTTTTAACCAGAAATATTTCACGGTGGGTTTCCAAAGAGGCTCCGTGGAGAAGGGCAGGGCTGGGAAGCCGGTGTGCTCACCCTTCTGCACCGTGCATCGTCAAGCTGATAGCGAAACCAGCCGGGATCTCGCACGGGGAAGCGTTCTCACATTTCCCTTGTTGATTTGGAGTGCTGGAAGGACAACCCATAATGACAGCAAGCTTGGAGATCTGGATTAAAGTCTCTAAGAAGAGCTTACCCTTTAGGCTGACGTGCTACAGAAACGGCACACGCCTCGAGAACACCAACCACGGAGTCTGTCAACAGTTTTACACTTTCAAACATCGCTGAGCTGGTGCACGGATCTCCGGGAACACGCTGCTGTGGCAGGGAACCAGCCTCCAGAACCAAAATAAACCAGTTCCCAGTTAGTTTCCAGTACAGACACCTCAGATACCAGGGGTATTTAAGCACTGAACCTGCACGGTAAGCTCTGCAGTAGTTATTCCAGCTCCATGCAGGGATCCCTAAAACCCCAAGGAGGTGTAAAGCGCCCGTGTCCAACGCAGAATTCAACCCCGCAGAAAGAGAGGGGATGGCAAATTCTGAATTCTAAAATCGAACAGAAACGGGGCCGGCGGCAGGTAATTTAAGCGGTGGTTGAGGCTGGCAAAAAGAATGTTTTATTGCATCTGCTAACGGGAGGAATGTTCCCAACAAAACCATTTATAACTATCTGTGATTGAAAGCCTGAACTTCCTCTGTTTGCAACCTAAATGTCACTTTTCTGGGTGACCATGAGAACCAAAAAGTCCCTAAAAATGACCCAAAGGACTCGCTAAGGGCTGGAGAAAGCAACCAGCCCTGGTTCAGAGCAGAGCAAGAGAGCAGAGCCACACCATCAACGAAGAGGAGGATTCGGGGTGCAGAGAATGTCAGCAACTTGCAGAAGAAATACTTAAAAATACACTCTAAGTGTTTTAAAGTGAAGTGGAAGTGAGCAGCACCACAATTCTTCCTGGACATACAGCGAGCAAACCACGGCCGTCGAGAGCCGACGTCTCCGGCATCGCCGCAGCTCCCCGGGTTTGCAGGGATTGCACGAGGACACGGTGGGGCTGCCAGGCACCGCTGGGGTACCGATGAGTAAAGGACATTCCCAGCCCTCGTGAGCTCCGGAGGGGCTGGAACAGGGAACAAGGGAGGTTTCTACCCTCGCATGCCGCAGATGCTTCCTGCGCAGATCCCTTCCCCAGCCGTGCACGGCGTCGTGCCCAGGAATCGATTACTGTGTGTTTACAACAGCCTAGCAGCAACTTTAGACACTTACGGCTTAAATAATCCACTTCTCTGCCTCTTCTGCCTGTCGGTTCGAAGCCCTGTGCCCCCGTTTGATCCCACCCTTCGAGGGGAAAGCCCGGCAGCTCACGGTGGGGGAATTGCGGCAGGAATTGCTGCCTGCAACCCAGAGCAAAGGCACGAGGGGCTGCTGCCAAACCTGCCCGCGCCCAGCCACGCCGTTAATCTCTCGTACCATTTACGAAACCCGGCACTTAGGAGAAAGCGATAAACATCGAGCCTGCCAGCTCTGCCCGGAGGAGGCAGAGGAGAAAGCACGGCAGAACTCCTGCATCCCGGTCCTGTGCTCAGCCCTGAATTTCCCAACATCAACCGGATCTCTTTAATATTATTCTGGATAAAACAGCGCATTCAATCCCGGCAAGATTACCATACATACAACTCTGTAATTAGACAACGACCATGTGTCCTGTTGTAATTGGATTTGCAAAACCAGCCTGGCACAGGGGTATGCCACCCTCACACCATCTTTACTGACAAATCTACTCCTTCCACAGATTCTATTCTTGGTCATAATAATTGTTTCACTTGATAATTTAATAAACCAATTCTATTCATTGTACTCCGGCAGTTCTGGATTCACGGGCCAGGATGATCCCTCGACTAGCGGAAGGGTTTGGAGATGTAACTAAGAGCTTCAAGCTCTTTGCAGGAAGCATCTTTCCCACGTGCAGACTGACGAGCGAACCCCCCATCAGGATGCTGTCCCATCAGCATCTCCAAACAGACGTGTTCAGCTCAATTTCCGTGCTGACAACGTTTGGGTCCATGACCGGTCTCGCCGTCGCAGCGGGTTTTGTGGCAGGGACTGAAAGCACAAGCTTTGCAGAGTCCTCTTCCACCAGACATCAGCCATCGCAGCTTTCACACGGTTGCTTCCCTCCCCTCTCCTCCCACAACTCTTTTCTTTAAAAAAAAACCCAACAACCAAACCACGCTTCCTGGCCTCATTATATTCACTGGGAATGAAGGTTTTTAAATGAGAACTTCCCTAAGCCAGAGGCCCAGAAACAACTTGTTGAAGACATCCAACTGAGCTGACGAACAGAGGCTTTCGGTGTTTTTTAAAGGTTTTGTCTGAGCCACAAACTGCTCCTTTTACCTCGACAACCAAATCCTCCCAGCAATGGGGAAAGCTTGCGGGCTGTTAACAAGCACCAGTCTGCCCGAACACCTCCTTGACCCCCAGGTTTGCATCTTGTTTCCTCACTGCCTGCATCAGGATGCAATTACACAATTACCTCCGTCTCATTCAGTTAAAAGGTCGTGATGAGCAGCTGCTCTGGGCAGGCACTCCACAACATCCCCACCCAGCCCACGGAGGCACAAGTCGGTGTGGGGATGCAGGAAAGCCTGATGAGGATGGTGTCTCGGGAATCCAGATCCTTTTCCATCGCCTGAGCCTCTGGGATACAGCGATCAAACCTCCAAACCCCAAATGCACAGATCTCAGCACTTCAAAGTCCAGCTGCTATGGGTTTGCATTTTATAGCCATCGCCTGAGCCGCTGGGATACAGCGATCAAACCTCCAAACCCCAAACGCTCTGAGATCTCTGCACTTCAAAGTCCAGCTGCTATGGGTTTGCATTTTATAGAAGTCTTTAAAAATAAAACATAATGCAAAGACACCCATTTGGCATCATTAACTCTTTGCTTGCAGCGATCCTCCCCGCCAGCTGCAAACCTCCTGCGGTTTCACTATAGAAACCAGCTTCTGCACACCCAGGTGGGAATCTCTTCAAACACATCAGCTGCACTTCGCAGTAGGTGGGAGAAGAAAAAAAAAAATCAAGAGGCACACATCAATAGGAACAAGGGAATCAAGCCTTCTGGATCCTGCTTTATCAGTGACATTTGGCTCAGCCCCCGCACGTGCTAATCAAAGCCCACCCTGAGTCGTGAGAGATCGATGCTGGCTCTGGGGGTAATGGAGCGCTCGGTGGCTTTCCCTCTGCAGGCACCGGGGGCAAAGGGGACGGAGAAGGGTCAAGAGCAGCATAAAATAAAAACTTGCTGCTCAGAGCTGGCACAGACCGGCTGCCCGAAGGCTCTTGAGCCCGAAAACACCGGGCTGCCTTGCACAGACCCTGGGTCAGAGTGTCAGGGCACAGCAGCGACCTGATGAGGTTCACCGATGATTTTCAGACCTTCCTCCTTAAAAAAATAAAATGCCTCTTCCCATCGCCTCTGTTCTCCAAGGCAGACTCATCGTCCATCCCCCTGGAATTCTTCTGTACTATCGCAGCAAGGAGAGGCGAGGGCATCGATCCCAACTCCAGTACTTGCTTCTGTGGAACTGGGACTAAAATCCCCAGGGCGAATCGATTGCGGGGTAAGAGCAAAGAGCGGGAGAAACACTTCACCTCCCAGGATCTGTAGAATTCATTCTTAGACACAGGGTACGACAACTCTCGTTTGATGGTTTCTCCATTAATACAAAAAAAAAAAAATCCATGTCTTATCTCGGGAAGAATTGCTGTGCTATAACATAATCTCTTTTCCAGGTAAATATATTTCAACTGCAAACCCAACTTGCGCAAGCCAAATACGTGGTCAGATGCCTGTTCTTCCCCTTCCTCCCCAGGGGTTAGGGGGCTCCTCCTGCCAGCACCACCAGAAATCCCAGCAGCCGTAACCCCACCTTCCCAGCATCCGGCCCCGCTACCCCGGAACCCACTCATCGTCACCCCTTGGCTCACCGTCAGGATTTGGGAACACCGGGAACACGAGGCTGGAATTCAGCCAGAACGCTGCTAGAGCACAAGCTCTCGGTGGCACCCTCCTCAATCCTCTGCAGAATCCTTCAAAGAAGTGCTCGCATTAACTGTCCCTGAGAGTTCCTTCCCAACATTTAGCTCCGATCCCTCTGCAGACCCAACAGCTCAGCAATTCCTGCACTGTGCTGTGCAACCTCCCCCTTTGAAGAGAATCCGCTCACTCTGTTCTTCCAGCCCAGTTTTACCACCTTTCATGCCCCTCTTTCCCCAAACACCTCCCATTACGTTGCCTCCAACGGGAAAAGCACTTCTTTTCCACTCTGCTCTGCCTCTGCAAAACCTGAAAGCTGCAACCCCTCGGGGTGTGCAGCGTTTGCTAACAGCTCCATCGCTCACAGGTCTTCAGCGACCCAGCAGCAGCCACGGGGACCCATCATTTACTTCGCCCTTTAAGACCAACAACTGGCGGTGTTTCCCAAAACTTGGCTGGCAGCATCCCACAGAGCTGCGAAATCCCAACACGACGCCAGAGGCTGGGCTGATGTAAGGTGACAGCGTTATTGTGACAAGGCTGATTGTCACAGGGGCACAGCAGGGCTCGATGCACAATGAAATGCCTCGGCACCAAGCTCGTGGGTCACAGCGAGGTGTACAGCAGCCTAGGTGATTTACTGCTCCTTTCCCCTCACCCTGTCACTGCCAGGTTGATGTGTTCATGGGGACGGCAGGGAAGTGGTGACTCAGGAATGGAGAGTTTTCTTTTTCCTGCTAAGCTGAATCCTGCGAGTTTTTAAACGTTTGCTTCCCACTGCCTGGTAGGATCCTGCTGCCTGTAACATACAATCAGCTCTCCCTCTAGTTCCCCTGACTGACAGCTCCAAGTGATATCAAAACCCGAGTTCCAAAGCCAGAGTTTAGTCATTAACCCCACTGCTGCTGCTTAACTCTCTCGCTGGGTGTGAATCCGGTTCAAAATCACGACATTTGGACATCACTTTTCTGCTGAAATCATACTGTAAGTTACCTATGATTTTAATTCCAGGCAAAACTCGACCAGAATGTAAAATCCAGCAAAACAGATCTGTATTTGCCAGCTTGGCTCAACCCTGTAGGTTAGTTTCGTACCAGCACCCCCGGGCTCAGCTTTATTTGTCACCTCTATACTGAAGTAGCCTCTGTCCACGTAGTCTCCCAGGAAGAGGTAGCGGGTGTTATTGGGTGATCCTCCGACTTCAAACAACTTCATCAGGTCAAAAAACTGCCCGTGAATGTCACCGCACACTAGGGGAGGAAGAACAGCACAAAAGAGGGACAGAATTACACGCTAAGAAAAGAAAGGTCGCGACAGCAACAAGGAGCGGAGCACGGCTGTGCTCTGACCCCAGCTTCAGCAGAGAGCTCCTCAACCCACCCCAGCAAAATCCTCTCTTCCGAGAGCTCAGGCTATTTAAAAAACCTTGCTGGTGGAAGGAACACAGCAGAAAACCTGCTACTTTGAGCAGCTTGTGTTTCTAGATGGCCCTTAGTTCGGACTGCAGCCTGGGAAAGCTCTCTGACCTGTGATGGGAGCCTCCACTTCGATCATGGTCTTCTCGTGCCTCAGGATGGCAGCCCCATCGTTGATGATCTTCAACGCCGCGTCCTCTTCCAGGCGCCCTTCCTTTACCAAGTGGCTCTTCAAGACGTCAAGCCGAGGCTTCCCATCCTCAAACACCTCCTTCAGAGTGAGCCGCTGCGTGGGAGGAAACGGGACAGCTGGAAATGGAAGCGAAGAAGTTAGCAACACGTCTAAAAAGAATTACAGTCTTTTCAACAGGAGGCTTTCGTTCCAAGCCTCAAGACAAGCATACGCTCAGAAACATACTTTCACTGAAACGATGCTCTCAAATCCTGAAAGAAGGGAAGCTAGGCTGCCAGAGCAACCGAATACACCCCTCCGCTTGTTTGAAAAGCCACCGTATGCAGACTAAATGCCATATGCACCCGCAGAAAACACGGGCACCAAAGCTGTCTCCTAAGCCGGCGGGGAGAGCTGTCACCCTCACGCTGCGCTAAAACAGGACTGCATGCAAATATCTGCAAACGCAGGAGGAAAACACGCCAGCTCCCAGGGGCTAGCCAGTAAGGTGGGAGGACCAGTACGTAAAATTCTGGCTTATGGGGAAACCGCACATCGCCATAAAGCAGAAGCTGCCTCCAACCAGGCAATGGCCTCGCACCTCTCCGTTTGGGGCACTTCGAGGGTGACTCCAAAAAAAGTAATCGGTTAATTGTGATGGAATCCCACATTTTAGACAAGTTAAGACGTCACCTATTTGCAACACATTCCCTGGTTTTTAAATCTAGGTAGAAAAACACCCCATCAAAAGCTGTCACTGTTCTTTTCACGCTAGGCAATCGTATTGTTTGTGAGAAGGTGACCTCCAGCAGAAAGGAAGCACATGAAACAAAAATCATAGTTCCAAGGGAGAACCACATCTACCTTCTCCTGGGCCTGGCTAATTGAAAAAATAAAAAGATGGAGAATGCATGACCCTGGCATAATATTTAAAAGCTATATAGTGTCTCGATTCAAAATAAATTCCAGAAAGGAGGCCTGGATGTTTGGGGAAAAAAAGAGAAGAAACTGGGAGTAAAATGCTGTCAAACAGCCCCAAATGCATGGCCCAGCTCCCACACACCATGGACCAATTCCCATCTTATCACAGCAGCGCGGCACAGAGATATCCCAGGTCCTGAGTCCATTTCCTTCCCAAACCATCTCGAATCACCAGCATCTCCTCGCTCCTCTGGGCTCAGCCCTTTCCGCAGCCCCAGGAACAAAAGGATTCTGCCCAAGCCCTGCCCAGGCAGCGATCCTGCAGGAAGGATGAGATGCTGGGATGGGTTTTGCTTTGGGGCACTCCACAGCCCCCAAAAAAGCATCTCACCAGCCCCTTGCCCTGGTGTGGGTACCACAGGGAGCTGCTGCTCATCCTCCCTCTGCAAAAGGTCTTGGAGGTGCTGCTGTCCCCAAAACTGACCGGACAGACCCCTGATCTCTGCTGGGCATCCCCCAGATGACCCCAAAATTTGGCAGGCAGAGCGTGCCTTTTCCAGCCGTTTGAATGACGGCGGTGCCAGCCTGCTTCTGAGTAAGCGGTACCTCCAACCCACGCCGCGTGGAGCCAAACCCACTCACGAGCTAATGCACCAGCGCTTCCCCATCTCCCGCTTCTGATGCCATCGTGCCGTGCGGTGAAAGACAGATTTGCACTTCACCGTCATCCAGCTAAAGGAGAAAAATATCTGCTATGCAAACGAAGGCGATGTCCTTACCCATCACCCAGCAAAGACATCCCACGTGCCGGCGTATGTTGAATTGAACAGGAGAAGATAGAGCGGGTCAAATAATCCAGTGACTAACGGGAACAGCAACCCACCTCTTTTAAATGCAAATAGAGCAGCTACTTAGCTCGGAAACCCAGCGAGAGAGAAAAAGCAAGCGAGGCAGCAGCACAAGAGATTCTTTGCAGCTGAACATCAATTTTCGAATCATGTGAAAATGTAGGACAGAGGAGAACAAGAGCGGCTGTAATGAAAGGGGAGCTGGTGCCTGCAATCCCCTGGCCCCTCTTTCATCGGTCGCTTTCCAAGTTTTGCTCTGCTGGCTCCTCGCTAAGTGCCCTGTGTGCCTTCAACGGTCCAGGGCACACGCTGCGCTTTCCCCACAGAGCCGCCAATTAAAGAGGTTTAAGCAAGACCCCTGCTTGGAAAACACAGGCTGGACAATGGGTTTTTTCCTGCCTATATAGTTCATCGCTACAGCCAGAAGAAATTAAAAAAGTGACCCCACTGGTTAGCGATGGAAAACTCAGCATTTTGCAGAATTTCAGGTGTTCTTTGCTCCCTGCAGAAGGAGGCAGAGGGAAGCTGCAGATTTGACACAAATCGGTTTGGCTGGAACCAGGGAGGTCAGAAGGAGCTGGGGTCAAACGCGGGCACGGGGCTGGGAGCGAGGTTGGGATTCCTGGCCGTTAAAAGATGGGAAAATGATTTGTAAGTACTTCTACAAACCGGGCAGTTGTCCTGGCATCTGACTCCAAAGGAAGCAGAAGAGCTCTTGAAGGTCAAGTGATGCATAAGGAAGAGAACAGAGAAATAGGAACCGTTCAGCTCCCTGTTCCCCATCACCCCAGGCCCTCAAACACGGCCACTGGCTCCGGAGCCACCCCAGCAAAGTAAAAAACCCGCAGAAGTCAGGACAGAAAGCTTTATGGAGATGGCATGTGACCACAAGAGCAGAACTCAGAAGAGATCCACGAAAAGCTCCTGGCATGGTTTGCTTTGCCTTTTCTTGGTAGCCCGAGTGAGCCAGAGTTATGCAAGATAAAATATGAGGCTACGGCGATGTGAGCAGCCAAGAACTTTTATGTAAGTTCCCTCGCTGGCTTTGCACAGCTCCACTCCCACGAGGAGCTGGGCACGATAAGGAACCGGCTTCTCCTCTGCTCTGCCTGTCTGCCAGCCAAGCTGTAGGGAGAAAAACCTGCTCCAGAGCTGCCAGAGAATCCAGCACCGTCCTGGGGATGCAGGCACGCAGCAAAGACCTCACGCCAGGCAAGGGATTGCTCCGCATCACCTGCTTTCTGCTTGCTGAGCTTCCTGCTAACCCACCCCAAGAAAAGATTTAATTCCCCGAGCCGGGGGTGCAGCGCCGGAGCAGCCGCGGAGCATCCAGAGCTGTCGAGCGCTTCCAAAGCTTCGTGGGGGCTGCGTGGAAAAAATCCAGCGAGTCACGAGCAGCGTGCACTGGAGCCCGAGCAAAACCGAAAGGCAGCGCTGCCCGTGTCCCCCACGCAGCAGGGGACGAGGACGAGTCCTTAAGTAATTAGTGTTGTCGAAGCAAGTAATCCTGTTAAGCAGCAGAACTTGTGTAGGACGAGTCCTTAAGTAATTAGTGTTGTCAAAGCAAGTAATCCTGTTAGGCAGCAGAACTTGTGTAAGGAAGGGCTTTAGTCAACTCGGTGCAAGCCATTATCTGATGCACAAATATCTGGGTTTTTTTTTTACAAGATCTGAATTTTATCCTTATTAATGCTCCATTCTGCTGGAGCGACGGGCACAGCAGGAGGGTGGGAGGAAGGGGGCTCCTCCGGCACAGCCATCAGAGCAGAATCTCACCTGAAATCTCACACCCTCAGGGCACCGAGAAGGGTGGAAGAGCCTTGCCCGCTTCCTGCTCCTATCTGCAAAATGGGGAAATAACTCCTTATCTCACAAAAAAAAAAAAAAAAAAAAAAGCTGTGGCTAATCAGACTGCCCAACACCGCAAGAGACCGTGAGCTAAACCCATCCTCGGAGCCAGCTCCTCCCCTGCACTGCCTGCAGACAATAATTAACAAAAATGATGGATAACACTCACAACGTAGCGAGCAGCGAGCGCGGCGATCTTCGTGCCATCTCCCTGTCTACACCAAACCATGTGCTGCACCCAGTCTTGTTTAAATACCGAAACCTGCAGGTGTAGGGCTTTTAATTTTGCAACGCATCAAATTCCTGAGAAAAAACTACAATTCCCACTCTGCTGACAGCACACGCAAACCACCATCGAAAGGATAACTGCAAGTGAACTTCTGAGGTGTAAAGTGGATTAAAAGGTGACCTGTGCTCAAAGGACCTCAGTTAAAATTAAGAGGATGGGGATATCTTTGCTAGACTATGGTGCAAGACTCCATTTGCTGCAAAATTAACACAGATTTTATTCACCTGTCCAGAGCAAGCGGGTATTTGCAGCACTCCAAGAGGACATGGATAGCTGCAGACGGGAGAATCTAACCAAAAGCTGCTTCTCTCCCACTGACTCTACAAAACCAGAGTGCTCACAGCCCATTCATTTGCCCCTTGGTGCAAAAAAAGACTTTATTCCTCCAGGAGAAAAGCACGTGTTGCATTTCTACGTCCGTAGCAAAACTATGCCCCAGCAAGCTTCATCGCGGCTCTTCCAGCACGGATCGGGGTCAGACCACGTCGCATCTTCGTAAGAGAGCGGCTGAAATAAATTAAAGATCCTCTCCTCCCAGGGCTGCCCCATCCACACCTCCAGAAAGAGAAAACAAAGTGATGCTCAAATTCTTGTTTATATCTTTGGGAGTCTTACTGAAAATGGACCAAGTGCTACTTGCCTGGAGTGGAAGCTACAGCAAAATTTGTTCAGTGAGTGGTTGGGTTTCTAAAAAAAAGGAGGTGTCCTCTGCTGCTCGGGCACGTGGGGCTTCAAGTGCTAAAAAAATCATCCAGGACTAAACGTGCTGGATAATAAACATGGGACAAGATTTGTCTGCAGCTCCTGAGCGAATCTGAAGGGCGGTGGATGCGATAGCTCCCGTCCCTGCTTGCTCCTCGTCAAATGAAGGATGTCACGGGGATAGATAGTGGAACAGATGGTTACAGGTGCACTTTGGGGAGAAAAAACTCCATTTTGGTTATTCTGAAGCAGCCAGTACAGCTCAGAAAAAACCAAGCACAAGTAAAACCTGTCTTGTCTTCTGCTCAGACACAGGACGTAAGGTACCAACCGCTTCCAATCGCTGCACCCTCTCCACCCGTGCTGGAAGGCATCTGAAACATCCGCCTGACGCCCAGCTCGGGGTTTGACGATCGGGGATGACAGACGTCCATCTGCCACCACGGAGATCCGGCCGCCGAGGAAGCTGGACCCGGCTGTTAAAGGCAGAAACGATCCCAGTGAAAGCTGCCTCCTGAGCGCGA